TCGAACCAAACAATTTCTTCCTCAGGCATTTTCGCGTATCATTAACGGTAACGGAGATATTGCCTTGTAATAGAGTTACTGGGACACCCTGTATATATATATATGTATACATATCCAGCTGAAATTTTATATTGAAAATTTACATAATTGATGCAGAATTCTATTCTTTTCAGCTGAAAAGCACAGTTTATGATTTTGCATACTTATAGTGGTTTATGCCGATAATAATCAAAATAGATTGTCACCGGAAAATGCTGAAATATTATTGTCCATCATGAAAACTTTATTAATATTCATCTTTGATTACTAAGCAATGTTGAAATTGTATTGTAAAGAACCCTGTTCCACAGCCAGTCAATTATTATCGTTATTTTTCCCATGCTTTCTCTTTTTTTTAGAATTTTGGGAAATTTGTACCGGATATACGAAAAATATCCGGTATTCGGCCGGATAATTGTCCTACCGGATATCGGACCAGATTTCAGATATTCGATGTCACATTCTTTTCGGATATCCGATATCCGGTAATTTTACGATCCAGTGCATCCCTAATGAAAATATTGATTATAAAGTAATATTTATATTATTTTTGTTATGTTTAATTTTTCTGTATACAATTACCTAACACACTTTTTTCATTTTTTACATTTTATTCTTTTTGAATTTTATATCTGCTAAAGTATAAAATAAATTTCCTTAACAAAGGAGTTATAATTTACAAGAGATAAATTATATTTATCTCCAAATGTAGGAAATAATTTTCCTATTTTCTACTTATACGTTTTCTCTATTTTACGAAGATTATATCACTAACTAAATTGTATCACTTAATTAGATAGGATGACTTGGTAACGGCTGTACAGATGGCACCGTCGGCGTAATTGGTGTTGTCGGTACAGGTACTGACGGTACAGGCGTTGACGGTATCGGTTGATGCGTTTGTCGTGGCGGAGAAAGGAGCTCTTGCCTATCTCTTTCTCGTTCTCGACCGGGTCGCCATGCTTCCAATAACGCTTCAACTCGCTCTTCGGTAGGTCCCCACCGTGCAGCACCGGCTGGATTTTGTAACCATACAACTAGCGTGCCGTGCACCGCTCGAATGTTTACATCACCTCTGGAATGAAGAAAAAACAATTATTCAACATTTTTTTCACATATACATCATACACATGCCATATCTAATCAATATAAAGGACTTCATTAATTATATGGAAAATTGGATTCTACTGAAATAAATTAGTTTTCAGATATAATATAGCTTATAATGGAATGAAGAAAAGATATTACAGATATGACTCAAGATAGTTTTTGAACTATGGTGTATCAAAGGTACTCACAGAGCGCGCGCGCGGCGCACGCACGCACGCACGCACGCACGCACACACACACACACACACACACACACGCACACGCCCGCGCACACACACACGCGCGCGCGCGCGCGCACACACACACACACACACACACACACACGCGCGCGTTTTACACCTTTAACATATCATAGCTCAAAACTATTCATTTGACTCTTATATCCGTAACATCTTTTGTTCACCACATTATGTAAGCTATATTATATAAAAAATTAATTTAAAAACTAATTCTCCATATAATTAACGTGGGATCCTTTAATTTGAATAAACGTACTTTGGAAGAATATGTTGGAATCCATGTCGATATTCATGTTCCATAGCGGGTACTACTACTTGTTTACGTTTAAAGTGACTACCCTCGAGTTTTATAAGCGCATTAGGAGCTGGATCACGCCACTCCGGTAAAAATACCACGAACGACAAAGGCTCTGCCGAATCAGCCAAAAGACGCTCGAAGTGGTTGACCATAGCTTCCATAAGTTCCTCGCAGTATGGTGGATTTGCTTGAAACGATCCACTGACCGGCCTGAAATCCAAGAATGGTCCTCTCGATCCGAAATATGAGTCCGTATCAGCAAACGCTGAACAATACTGTCGAAAGTAACAGTTTAAAGGCGAGGCAAAACATTCAAACGTAACGCCGAATGATCTCTGAAGGCATTCGAAAACCGTCACCGGAAGAGCCATCTGGGTTGCTTGGCCCTCGTTGATTCCAAAGTATGTCTGATAGCGTTTCAACATACACCAAACGCGTGACAGAAACATTTCAAACTTTTTATCATCAAAACCGTTATACCTATACAAATGTTCCAATTTAGCAAAGTGCGTGTTATTAATATACATGGTGTCACCGTGAAAGCGTAGCATTATTTGCTCGCGCTCAGGAAGATAATCCACTTGTGGAAGTCTCGGTGTGGGAAGGGAAAATTGCACTGGATAACACCAAACTTTTCTTTGCGTGCTAACAGGACCTCCTAATGGTATAACATCCCCCAGACCATTATCTTTAAGGATTTGGTTATTTTTATCTTTCACCTTTTTCGCATATTCCGTCGACAGATGATAAATTTTCAGACATATGCCTTCAACGCTGGCTTTAACGGTTGCCGTGAGGT